ATATTGCTTATCAGGGAAAGGAATCTGAGAATGGCTGCGACCCACTCCACACAGCAACCCTCCCAGGGCTTCTTCCTGTTGTATATATATATATATATATTGCTTATCAGGGAAAGGAATCTGAGAATGGCTGCGACCCACTCCACACAGCAACCCTCCCAGGGCTTCTTCCTGTTGGTTTAGGTTCAAAGAGCCTATAATGTTCTCTGGGGCTCCTTTAATGCCCTTCTATTTTCTGTGGCTTCTTTCTTATCCTCTCATTTAATAGACTTTTGTGACTGGCTGAAAGTAAAACAACAATCACAGTTTCATCCTACGACCTTACACTTCAGACTCCCTTGCCATTGCTTGAAATAGAAAGAATGAGCAGAGGTGCCTCGCAGTGAACAATGACTGGAAATTTTGAAGACTGCAGGAAGACTACAAAGTCAGTTGATTCAATTCCATGTTATTGTAAAGAAAGGCCTTTGTGGCTCATGGTCATGTCGTCCTTCATGCCATTGGTACCTGTGTGTCAGTCAGCTTTGCATCACTGTAACCAACAACCTGGCTCACGGTCTCAGAAGAGTCAGTCCCTGGCCTAGTGGTCTACTTCTTTGAAGCAGAGCATCATGGTGCAAGGGAGAGGGGGTGGAGCAACGCTGCTCATCAGTGGCCAATGGGAGGCAGAGAGAAAGCAGCAAGCCAGGGAGCAAAGAACTGGGACCAGATTAGTCCCCAAGAGCCCACCTCCGTGATCTAGCTTGTTCAGCGAGGCCCCACATCCTGTCTCCATCATATGCCGGTAATGCCATCAAATTACGATCTCATCGGTGGATGAATCCACAGTGAAGTTAGACCCTCCCTTGATCCCATCACCTTCCAAAAGCCCATCGACAACCAAGCCTTCTGCACAAAGAGCCTTTTGGGGAACATACCATACCCAAGTCATGATAATTTAGCTGGCCAGATGTAGGTAAACTGCAGCCAAAATAATGCTGATCCCTTACTGTTCCCATTCTCCAGAGAAACGATTGCATCTGGAAAACAATGCCGAGGACACACCTGCACCTCAGCCCCAGAACTCTCTGTCCTAGAAGCACCCAGGTTGTCCGTGTCGCCCTCCATCCATGCTTAAAGCCTCAACTTTATTTAAGTTTTCTTTCCTTTACTGTTTTTGGTTTCATTTACTACCAGATTCTGGCATTATTATTCATAAATACTTAAGATTTTCCACTTTTTTGAGAGCCACTGGCTACAGAAACCTAAAACAGAGAATCCCTGGCAAAGGAAGTTCAGTGTGAGGATTTAATGGAAACAGAAATTGAAGAGAAACTACTTTGGCACTTGCATTTAGCTATGGCAAGCTGTTTTCATTTTCACTAATTAATCTAAAGGTCACTCAAAAACAAAGGCTCAAGAACAAAATCCTGCACGCAGGCCGCAGCACTGGTGGCTCTTCAGCAGTGTTTTTCAGTTAACACTTGGAAATTTCTGTCAAAATCCAAAGTGCTTTGGAAATGCCAGTCGCTGCCAAGTAGTGGACCCGGCTCTTCATCCTGCATGAAAAAAAAATATCCCAGCACTGTGAAAATTGAAGTTGTTTTTCCCCAGCGAATGTTAAGAAAAAGAAAAGGAGAGATCAGTTCATTGGTAATTCTCACAGCAAGAGCAAAGAAACACACAATAACACTTCTCCCTCGGTGGTGGTTATCTGTGAGGAGGAACTTCTGACTTCCTGTGCATCGGGGGAAATCACCTCGGCCAGGCCAAGGAAGGCAGTGAGTTCCAGGGCATCAAGGAGCACAAGTTAAGGGAAGCAGAAAGTAAAAAATTTGACAACCACAAAAGGGAGTTGGAGTTTGATGAAACATAGAAGAAAATCCAGAAGCACACAATAGATAAGATTTTCTCCAAGAAATTACTCTGGCTTTGAAGAGTGACAGGCAATCCCCACGGCAACCTCCCTTTGCTGAGACAATATTTTTGGAACAACCCATTGGACAGCTTTTTCTCACGTTTCACAACACTCACCCTTCCTTCCACAGGAGGTGAAAGTACACAATCATTAAGTGCTTGGTGGGGTCTGTGCAGATCATGAAGAAGAACACAGGAGTGGCTGGCCCCCTCTCCTTGGGATAAAGGACTCCTTTCCTGACTTCCCAGAAGGGCCATTCCCAACCTTCTCCTCAGTCCCACTCCCCCTCCTATGGACAGCTGAGAGGAGCTTCTTCCATGATTAAAGCATCAGCTGCATTTCCTGAGACCACCTTTC